ATAATTGATCTACCGAAAAAAAAAAAACGCTGCTCTTATGTCACTGGCACATGGCACATACCAGGCCAGTCGCTCGCCGGGCAGGAGCCTTGCATTCGCAAGTTGCCACACGCTGAGATTTAACGGTCTCGAAATTCCATTGAAGCACACACTTCAGCACGAATGCTCATCACGGTAGCTCCGCTGTCAAAGCGGCAACTCGTGGAACCATTCATGACAACTTGTCGGCTTGGCGTCCAGGCATGCTTACATGAATAGACTCAGGCCAGGTTCCGTTACATGAAGTGCTGATCAGTTCCAGCTACGAAGTGAACTCCAACAACAACACAGCCTAAAGGCGGTTGCCAGTGAAGTCACACTGCTGCTCTTGCAGCGGCTACGGCACCGAAAATTTGCAACGCAGCCGGGCGCCGCAGATACCACGTGATGTGCATTCACTTTCACGTCTCTTTAGCCTTCAAGATCTTTGAGCCGTCTGCGGCGCAGCATCTTCTGTGTGGTGTTTTTACGCCAGAAACGTTTAAAGCCCTGGTCCCACGTCCGAAGGGCTCTGCCGCCAGCTTGAGCCAGCATGGCAATCTTCGTGCACATGTTGCATTCACCTAGCCGACCTAGCCAGGCCACCACATGCCACTGCTACTTGCATTGTCGGGCTGCAGCTCCCGCATGGAGAAACCAGCGGCCACTGCACCTCCCATGCTTGACAGCTTGGAATGGTACCAACCTTTGCCTTTGACTGTGGGTGTGCAGCATGTGCTGCCCTGCGCCTGCAGCAGCTCCAGGTCTAGAATCTCTGGAGGTGGCCGCTCCTGATTTCAACCCCATTTCCGTGATACTCAGCAAGACTCAGCGAGCCTGTGGACCCGCCGAGGCCCGCGAGACCAAGGCCACCGAGTCCAGCTCCTCGCATTTCAGCGAAAGCGAAACACAACGAAACTATCAGTTCGTATCTCCTCCAAGAATGTTGCCCAGGCCACCGCCGAAGCTGTCAAGAGCTTCCTGGGTCAGAGTACGATCGTCTGCATTGGCTTCAGGTCCAGCGATGAACTGCCGGCCTCTCCGCGGATGATGGGTTGCGTTTCTTTGCCGCTTAAATACCTGGCGAGCAGGTCTGCTGCCTCTGCACTTGCGGAGTGGCTGTGCAAAACCACAGCCAGGCCAGGGGCAACACTTCTGATCCATCCACTCTACCATTTTTCTGTAGATGTCAGCCTGTCTGTTTCAGTGCTTTCTGGATAGCTCCGGTATCAAGCTTTCGACCGGGCGCCTCAGTCAAGTGTCTCCGGGCAAATTCACGAGCACGGCCTGTAAAGCCGCCAGCCTTGTGATAACCAGCTGGAAAATTCTGAGCCTCCCCGAACTCTGAGAAACGGGCCTCGCAGAGCTCCACGAAGTCTGCCAACCTCTGCTACAAAAGACCCTCTCCCTTAGCAAAACTGATCAATGGCGTATGCCTTGCCAGCGCGTGATTGACAATCAGCAGGGAAACAGCGTCAAACAACACAAAGTTCACATGTTAGATTCAAGTTGCCGCTCCGCAACCAACGCGGGGTCTCCATCTGTGACGTGCCCTTGGCCACTCAGCGTCTACATGCTGCAGCAACCGTCTCCACATCCTTAACGCTTAGAGCCCAACCCAGGTGTTGGATCAAGGGTGGCAAACGAGTGGACTCGGTAACGTAGAACGGTGTGTCAGTAACAAGCCCCTGAGAAAGCGGTGACGCAGGAACACAATCCACAACTTCTACGATGGCCCCACCCAAGCCTCGTAGATCACACGAGGATTGCAGTCTATCACTGAATGCATCACCTCAAACGCAGGCAGGATCTCGTCACACAGGTCTTCGACCAAGACAGAAGCTGTCTCAAGGAAATGGCGATCCCCAAGGAAGCAGTGAAAAGCTGCGCAAGCTCTTCATCCTCACAGCAGCTCTCTACTTACCTCCGCATATTGCAGTCCACCGCCAAACTGGATCCTTGAGCTGGTCAGCCACGACCACGTTGAGTAACTTCTCTGCATTGATTTTCTGTGTCAATGTCACTACCTGAAGCACTGACTACGAATCTTCTCACAGGCTGGCACGCTAGCAGCGCGCCAAGGCACCTCGTTGCAATAAGTCTGATTCCCGTCACAACCACCAGCCACGACGATGGTCAGGCCACGCCTCTACGGCGAAGCATGAGAAGAATCCATGGATGCCCTGAGATGCCCTGAGGCTTCGGCAGGCGCTGGACAGCAGATGGCTTTCTAGCCTGAACCCAAACCGCCCCGGCTAAGCGCAGTGCTGAAACTCACCATGCCGACCCCTTCGAAAAGCAGCCCTGACAAGAAGTCCAGCTGCCCCTTGATAGGCCTTGGAGACCGTCGGATTCGTGAAGGGCACTCTCAGCTGTACCAGCTGGGGCGACGGCCGAATGTCTGCAGGGAAAATCAACAGCTTGTCCTTCGACTGACTGTGGGCCCATGGCCGTATGTGAAGGGCTCCCTAGAAGGCTAACTGTCGCAGAAAGCTCTCCGCAAAATCTTGCTTGTTTTCCATTAACCCAAAATTGACCCAAAACGAAGCCGAAAAAATCCAGCAATGGCAGAGCCGTGGCAGAGCTCGCCTTCGGTCTCTGAAGGCGGCGCTGTCTCTGCATGATTGCCTTTCAGCGGAAAGTGTACTGTTACATGGTACAGCAACGATTGACAACCACAAGCTCTCAGGCGCACCTCGTCTAATGTTTTTCTGAAGGAAGGATTGGGAGGCTTCAGAATCTCAGTTCCCAGTGGAATGTTCCTCCATTACTCGTAAACACAGCTTTTAGGGGCGCCCACGGCATCATCCGGCAGCACTGACACGCCGAGGTCCTGGCAGCTGTTGAAATGACTCAGAGGTCTGCCCAGAACATGAACGAAGAGTGATTGAGGCTCTGAGTTTTGAGGCACCAAAGCAGCTACCTCAAAGTTTGCAATCTGATCGTCTGAGAGGTCATACCTGCAAAGCTTGGACGGTGACATTCAGCCAGTTTATAGGCATGCTTTGCAGAAGTTGGGAGCTGCACGTCGGATAAAGCAGAACCCGGCGGGCCGGCATCACCCGCGTCATAGGATGCCTAACTGCTGTCACGCACAACTTCAATATTGCAAAAAGCTCATCTGTATACCAGAAGCTCATCTGAGGGCATGGCATCAAGGCGTTGATCTCGAAAACAAACATCAAATCAATCGGCTCTGCAAAGTAGTTTGATGCCAAACTGGCAGCGAGGAGGCGACATGTACAGAAGGCACGAAAGTGCAAAGGCATGAGCCTGTGCCCGGAGTTGCGAAGACAGCCGCTTCGGTCCATCCGATAGAGCCTAGTCAGATCGGCTGTTCTCTGACCAAGCCAGCAACAATTAATATCAAACTCAAGTCTGCAACCTTGCACCTGACTGCCTCTGATGGCAGCACAGCTGAGGCATGGACGTCTTTTGCTCATCACGGGCCGCAAGCCACACATCAACTGAGCTGTTGGTAACATACCTGCCCAATCTTTTAGATTTGTTTTTTTGCGATTGTACGGGCTCTGGGCTTCCGGGCTAAGGATTTCAGAGCGTTGAGTTTGAAAGGTTTGAGGGCATAGCCTATCTCTCACAATGGGTGGTGCTTCGAAAACTGCCGATGCGAAAACAAAGTTCACAGGCTGCCGGGCAAAAATTTCGTTGTTACAGATTCTCGGAGGACCTTCGCTGCTTTGCTCGATTTTGTCAACAATATATCTCTGCCGTCATGAGACACATCGCTCGCTGGGAATGATTCAGATGTGCATGGACACAAACCATGACTGGGCAGTAGCAAGTGCAGAAACCTGCTCTAGAGGGGCAGCAGCATGCGCAAGGTCAGAAACTAAGCATGTGCTAGGTTGTCACACATTAAAACCTACGAGCGCGCGCCTGGTCCAGAAAGGGAGACACCAGGAACGTGTACGGCAGGCGCACGGCGATCTCTCCTCTATATAACGCTCCAAGATCCCAAACGCTTGATTTACTGCGTCATTTCATTTACGGCTTCCACAACAAGGATCATTTGTCTGAGGCCCTGTGGCCACATCCAGTCACAAGATAGCTTTGAAGCTTGATTCTTGCCGTTGCCGTCTACGGTAGCAATATTAGCCGTTAGCATTGCATCGTAGCTTTCATCGTAGGACGGTTAGTGCTTGCACTCTACTCCTCGCACGTCCTAGAGGGTTCTGGTCCTGATGATAAAAATGGTAGAACAGGACCGTGGTGAAGTGGACCTTCAAAGAGTCGCGGTGCCTGACGTGTAGGCTTGATTTCATAACCATCTTCTGTACCAACATAGATACATATGTGGTTGCGCCCGAGCAGCCCCGTCCCCCCCTACGCCTACTACAACCAGACCTCCTATACCGCAACCAGACGGTCCGTACCGCAACCGAAGGCTGATTTTAGGAAAACTACGAACTCCCCTATCACAACCAATTATTCAATAAGTGTGCAGCAAGATTTGAATATCAGATTTGTAGTCCGAGATGGTAATCTAATTATGTTGTGTTCTGGTTGCAGTAGGGACAGGTGTTGTGAATTTTGTGATCAGTTGTGGGGTACGCTTTTCAGTCGTAGTACGGACCATCTGGTTGCAGTACAGGGGTTCCAGTTGCAGTAGGGGCTATTTTACTCTCCCCCTCCCCACCCTCCCTCACACATCCAAACACCACGTGCATATAGTACAAGAGCTCGACCGGATCTTGTTTCTGTTTCCCCCCCTCCCCTCCCAGTGGCCCTTTGGGCTGCTGGCGCCTGTGGTGCTCTGGGGTTTTTGTTTGGTCTCAGTCAACTTCTGATTTTGGTTTGCTGGCTCCCTATCAATAAACTTGACCGCATCTGGTTTCTATTTTCCATCTTCCTGCCCACAAAGTTCCGACACGCACAATTGGCATGCACAGGCTTTTTGCAATGATGCTCATAGTTGCACGTAGATGTCTAGCATTTACAAACGTTTTTGTCATCATTTCTTGAAGCACGTTGCCACAGAGCAAGCAACATTTCGATCCCCGACATATAGACCTCTAGAGGCAGTTCTCCTGTAGATGTTTTCAACAAATCCTACGGTGTTGGCTTTCTGCAGTGATGCTCATAGCCCATTGACATGTTGAAGCAAGCCTTCTGCCAGTGGGTGAATTGGAAAAAAGCCTGGATACTCACCAGACCTGTGACTGTTGGCACTTTTGAGACGTTTGAGAGCTGCGACATCAAAAACGACGACGCTTACGAGAACGGCGCCTCGAGGCCTCAGAAACGCGGACACTTGCGAGCTGCATCCCTACCATCCCTGTGACTGTTGGCGCTTTTGAGATCTTCGACATCAAAAACGACGACAGCCACGAGAATGGCGCCTCCGAGGCTTCAACCACTAGGACAGTTGGAAGGATCGCGAGCTTGATACCCACCATCCCCATGACTGTTGACGCAGTGAAATCTTCGACATCAGATATGACGACAGTTACGAGGATCGCGAGATGGACACCCACCATTCATGTGTCAGCTCACACTTTTCAGAAGCCTGGGCTGGGAATCGCAGGACCATACCATGTGGGGGGCGGGCGAGGGGGGGTGGCTCAGAACGCAGAGCGCACAAGCATATATATATATATATACATATTCCCAGCCCGAAAAAGTTCAATCTCATCCAACATTTTTAGCAGGGCTGCAGTTCTGCAAAGAACTCCTCTTCCCTAGGCACAGCTTGAAACTATTGCAATTTCTGATGTGGTATCAATGGCACCGTTAGCCTGGCCACTTCAAATGACGTGTCAAGGGCCACTGCTACTCTTGCAACATCCTGCGCAAGCTACTTGCCAAGAGGCCTGGTAGGTCAAAACCTTTGCAATACCGATGTACTCATGCATCTGTCATGGCGACATGCAACTTGGCAACGGCACCTCATTGAGAGGTCCACAGCCTCGTCCATCCCGGGACCACCAGCCTCAGGCATGTTCAGAATGCTCAAATTGCAGAGACAACCGCCAAAACTACTGGACCTGAGAGGCGGCAGTTTGACCAGGCTGCACCTGCAAAGATCGGCACAGCTGCTGTCCTGTCGCCTTGAACGTGAAACATCCTGACCTCAACTTCCGCAAGTCTCATGGGCTGCTTGCCCATAACCTTGGCAGCTTGTTTTCAGAGGCGCATTCCAAGCAAGTCCTACCTATTTGCCAGCGCCATGGTATCCAGGTCAGCACAAATTACAAACTTCGGGCAGCGCTTCAGAGTTGTGGTACATTGTTCTGATCAACCTGCCACTTCGGGATCCTATGGCCCTGATTCCCACTCCCAGAATGCATGCAAACCATCATTGCCTGTCGGACATCGGCCAGCGGCCAGATTCCTGACACTGTTGCATCTTCGCGGACGTCATGAAGACAAACACCATTGAGAGCCCAGCCATTTTGGACATCAGCCCAGGTGTTGCATACAGCATGTACGTGGCCTCGGTGCAGGATTCCGTGTGTTTGAAATAGTCCTGACAGTTGTCATCCGTAGTGCCCTAGGGCATAATGGTTTTTCGTCTCTATGAACTCAACTTTTCTGAGTATTCCTGTTTGAAATCAAAATAGCATGAGCAATTCCGAGAAGATCTGAGAGAAAGGCCCGGTGCAGAAGCCGGTACTTCCAATCTCTGTCCTGCAGCGCAAGAATGCTTCAGATTTTCATTGCAAACGTCACTGCCAGGTCCTGTGCAATGGAGAGGTACACCAACGCTGTCACCACCCCAGCAGGGCATTCATCAAACAATGCTGGGTTCCTTGGAAGTCAATGTAAACATCCACATATTTGTTCCTTCTTCCAAAACAATGGCAAAGCTCCGCGCTCTTCCCAAGCTTCATGAATGTGGTAGGATGCCTAGCATGAGCTGAAACGCATGTGCATGCTGTGCATGCGGCTATGCGGGAAGGACAGCTTTGCCTCAACTGGATCCTGCTCCAGCAGGGCCAACTTCTGCAGCGCAGCGTGCCTTCCCCAACAAAGCTTCAGAGTCTGCCGAAGCTTCATCTGCTGAATCTCATGGGCATGATATCATCATATCGAAAATGTCACCTCATGATTGTTTTAAAGTCACCTGGAGCATGACTTGTTGAGAAAGCCCCTTTCCTGAGGCTCTGAGGCTCTTGCAGTTTCACAAACAGTGGGTTGAAAGTGCATCCCGCATCGGCTCCAGGAGCTGGCACCAGTTTGCTTTCAGCAGCTGACTCGCTGACCCGGGCAAGCAGCTAACCAAAACAAAGATACACAAAGTACACACCACTTGCGCAATCTTGTGCATGCCTGGCAGAGAGGTCGTCAGCGTTGCGGACGGCGCTGTACCGAGACTGCCAAATGATTGGCGAAGTGCCTCTCACATGGATCACTGACCGTGTCGAACACAGATCTAAACACTACATGGAGAAAGCCTCCAGCTGCTCCGCGGCTGATCGTTGCACCTGCTCTTCTGGCCTTGGGGCTTTTCGATTGGAAGCTGACTTTGGTTGAAAAAAGAGCATACGACTGCCACACAAGTACGAGCTGCCAGCCCAAAGTCTCAAAGAGTCTAAGTGGATGGCTGAGCGTAGGCATACTGTTGCCCTACCAGGCCTTGAGCCTGATACTGTGGCTGGGTATACGGCTGGCCATAAGCCTGCTGGCCAAATGCCTGCTGATAAGCTTGCTGGCTATACCCTTGCTGGCCATATGCATGCTGGCTGTATGCTTGCTGCTGGGCATAAGCCTGCTGCGCATGAGCCGGGTATGCTTCGCGTGCTGGCTGGCCGTACACACCGGCTTGTCCGTGCACTGGCTGGCTGAAGCCATGCAGCTGGTTAGCTGGCGCGGGCTGGCCATGGCCATACGGCGCTCCTGCCGGAAAAGCCTGCGCAGGCTGGCCGTATGTGTTGCCATACCTCCGCAACTCCAGACACCAATCCCATGGCGTTTTCTGAACCTGCAAGTCTGCAAGACACCGAGCGCGGAACTGCTGCCCGAACTGTTGCAGCGGAGGGTTCGGAGCTTGTGTTGCCTGCAAGTCATCTGCAACACAACTGATTTGGATAGACCGGGTGTGCACCATGTGGCTCTTTTTAGCTTTTCTTCTGGGCAGCTAGAGCCAGCATGTCTTCCTAGAAACATGGCCAACTCACAGCGCGCCAGAGTGCGCTGAGCCATTTCTTCTTTACCTGAGTGCCATTACATCACATGCAGATTTACCTTAGCTATGCGCAAGATCCAAGTGATCAGAGTCCAGATCAAGACAGCACGCGCCGAGGCTGTGTACACACTTTTTTAACATCAACCGCCAACCCTGCCATCTCAATTGAAGAATTTTGTAAATCACTCTCCGCGGGCTTGCGCAACGCACAGTTGCAGTCTGATGCACACTGCGTATTGCAGCGCGCGATATTGCGCGACTACGGACATGGACTGCCACCAACCCCAAAAGGTGGCTCATTAAGCCACTCCTCATCGTCAGAGCCGGCCCGCTTGGAGTTCAATGGTGTCTGCACATCGAACCGATGTAATTTGGAAAGATCTGCTTCGTAGGTCCAGTGTAGCGCGCCATACGCAAGAAAGCAAATTGTCCAGGGAACTGCGCACCTTGATTGGCGAACTTAAGGTTGACTAGAATGGAATATCAACATGGTGGAAGACCTACTGAATGCATCTTGGAGGCATCACGGTGAGGCCAAGTCCCAAGGCATTGACATTATTTCGGCGGATGTCCTGCAACGCTTGGAAAGGATCAAAATCGAATGTGCAACTCCCACAAGTCAACCTTGCATAACTCCGCATTTGCCCAGAATTGAACCATCCTGCACGCATTTCCAGGTGTACCTTTTTAGTTACATGCACGTTGGAACTCAGGGGTCTCCCGCAGCCCCGCGACAAAGTTCTGGAAAAAAACACACACACACACACAAGTCTGTCTACGGCCCCATATATGGACTAGGCTTCGTTTTGCAGGCGCCATTTGGCCAATGGCGGTGCGTGCATCTATGTCGCTCTCCCCCTTCTCGACCCTATGGGCCACCTTGCTCTTTGTATTTTCTCTCTCTCCCTCTCTCTTTCTTTCTCTCTCCCTCTCTCTTTCTTTCTCTCTCCCTCTCTCTTTCTTTCTCTCTCCCTCTCTCTTTTGCTTTGCTGCGGGGATTGGCAGCGAACCGCCTGGCCATTTGGCCATCCCCACACGAGGTCGCTTCGGGTCCCTTCGTGACACATGATGTAATCTCTCTCTATCTCTCTCTGTCTTTCTCGTTCTGGAGGCGTCCTCAGGCACTTCGTGAAGCGGGCGGTGCTGCGTCTGGTAGCCGAAGCACTGCTCAGATATCAAAGCCACAAGAGGTCCGCCCATTGCTCCAGCAGAACCAGCAATGGCGCACATTACGCCAAGGATCCTGGCAAGCTATGGAGAGCTAGAATGCAACCGATCTTGCCATTCAACAGCTATTCTTGAATGCAACACGGTTGCAAAGCTGCTGGCATCCCTGCCTGGCTCGATGTTTCACGGAAACGACCTCTGTCAAGATTGGACGGTTGACGCCAAACTCAGACCATGTGCAGAAGAGCCCAAAGATTGTCACCAGAAGGAACCAGGTTCCTATGCTATCCTTGGTTGCATGGTGCATTTGTGCTGCAGCATGTGTAGCCAGGCTGTCAGCCACAAAGCTTGAGGGCTTGCTACACTGCAAATGTCTTCGTTGGAAAAGCATCGGGTGAGCGGGGTAACACCGAGTAGAAGATGACAGCTGTGGGTACAGCGATTCCTGTAGCTATCTGCGCCGTGAACGGCCGGCCGTGGAATCGGCTCCACCTGAGCGGGCCAAGACAAGTCGCTGAGTCACACAGGCTGCTCACAGGCCATACCCAGCTGGCTTTGATGGCTAAGCTCGCTGAGCTCGTAGCCTATTCATATTATCGCCGACATACCCGCCGATCAGCACTCCAAAGGATGAGCAAAAAAGCATCACGCTGGAGATGCAGCCGGCTGTGAAGTCCGAAACGCCACTGTACTGCAGGAACATTGTCCCGAAAGCCATGGCGGACCAGGGTATGCATCCGAAGCAACCCTGGAGAACGATGACGGCAAATGACCAGACCTTGCATTTCCCCGCATTTTACACTTATCGGCTGTGCTGTGGCTCCTGTGCGCGCCTCGAAGAAGCGGATCATGGTCTTCAGCTCACTGGTGAAGCTCAAGGGCTCGCCGCCCGGGGTCTCTGGCTCTATCTTCTCCTTCTCGATCTTCTCTTCCCAATGAGCCAGGTCTGCCGGCAGCACGGCGAAACGCTTCACGAAATTTCCTAGCACAATGCTCACCAGGCCAATGATGGCGAAGGCCACCCGCCATCCCTTGACACCAGGATATATAGTCAAATTGGAGATGGCTGTGGTCATTATGGCTGTGACCATGGCTCCGAAGCCGAGCATAAAGCCGAGCCAACAGAAATAACGTCCACGCTCCTGAGGCGGAGCGATGCTGGCTATCAATGCCTGTGTAGTTGGAGACAGAGTGGCCAGCGCAACCCCATTGAAGAGTCTGATGATCAAAATCCAGCTTGTGTCGTTGATGGCCGCTGTAAGGAGGGTCAAAATACCCCAGCCCGTACAACCTCCGAAGAGAATTTGGTGAGGAGCAAGGATGCCATTGTCGGAGAGCACGCCCCAGAAGACTGAAAAGACGGCCAAAGTGATGCCCTGGAACAGGTTGGCCGCTGCCAAGGTGCTGGGCGAAAGGCCAAGATCCGATTCGAGGGCCCGGTAGGATGCCGGGAGAAGCTGAACATCTGCTCCCTCCAGGAAGCTGCATGCATAGATCATGAATAGTGTCCAAGACAAATCGCTTTTAGTTGGAGGCGCTCTTGGAGCAACACGGATGGTTGGTCCGGTCCCCGTCGCAGACGGGGTCAAGCCAAAGTCCAAGGCATTGGTGTCGGGTTTTCCCATCTTGGATTCGCCCCAAGGGTTTCGGGGCCTTTGGCTAGTACGCTACAGGCACAAGGCTTGAGCCCGTGCCCGCTGCAGAGGATAAGATGAAACTCAAGCCTACTGCGCAAACTGTGCAAGGTCTGACTCGCCGGATAGAAGACATGTTTGCTGGGTTTGCAGGATTGTTGCGACGGCACTTCTGGACGGTACTGCCAGCCGGGCCACATACAGCAGCATGGCAGCTGAAGATCGTCACGGATTGCCACCAAAGGTCTCCCACGCATACATGCCACATGTGGACACCCTGCAGGTGGTGGTTGTTGTGCAAATGCGCGAGTGCAAGTGGATGTTCTCCCAGTTAGCAATCTCTACAGTATTTGCATAAAGGGTCTATCCGTCCCCGAAGCCCAAAACAAAGGCGAGCCCATCATCTAAGCGCGAACATGCTGAGAGCTAAGCATGCCCGCCCAATCCCAGACGTTTTCCCTTAGAATCTTCGAACCGTTGGGTCTGCACTGCCTAGTCATGTCACAATGTGCCTGGAGCCAAATTACCAAACGTGAGCTCACAATGCTCTCAATAGAAGCGAGGCACAGATACAGAAAGAAGCTTGCAGTCCGGGCCTTGAGCCGCTCAACTTCAGCCTTGAGGCGCGCCACCTGTGAGGCCAGCTTGAAGCTTTCTCTTCTCACTGGCGGCAGGGCAAACTGCCTCCGCCAGCAGGCCAGCATCTTCCGCGCTAGTGGACAGTCCCACTAGGGCACCCAGAAGAAACCGACGCACGGAGACCATGCATGCAAACAAAGGAAATGTCCTTAAGGGGTACTGTGGGCGGAGTTAGTGGTCTGCACAATTCAGCAACATCCCCTGCACGAACCAAATAACATATCTTCCAGGTGAGGCCAGCCGCAATGCATCAATGACACATTTCTCAGACTCAAATGTAATTTGGGAGCCACATATGTTTCATCTGCACGGCCGCTCTGTCATGTTTGCAGAGCTTTGAGCCGGCACAGCTTCAGCTTCAGCACGGTCATTTTCAGCTTGTCACAGTGCAGTCATTGGCTAGCATTAACGTCTGCATGTGTTGTAGGATTTCGGCTGCAGATGAAGGAGAGAGGTGGGAGGTGAGTTTCAATCGCCTTTTCTGCAATGGAGCTTATGGGGCTGGAAGGTAATCCAGAGTCCAGACTGCGCTGCCTGACTGGAGCTTTCATCATTCCACTGCCCGGCCCGTCTTTTGGGCATTCTGAGGCTGGTGGCTATGCAGTCCTTTTACGGATGCAGATCAGACAGACGAGCCACGAGCCATACGGCAAAGTAACAGCTAAGTACGAATGCCCAATAAATGAAAGATGTCTGAGCCCAGTCTGTGGTCAGAGCGATTAAGAATCTAGTCAGACTTCGTTCCTCCGGTTTTCGGAGACAAAGATGCCAAAAAGACTCGAGCGCTGGCGCTTCTTTACCATACAACTGAAATCACATTAAGTGAAACGTCACGTTGCAGCATGCTTGCAGGGGAAAATGATTGCCACAGACTGCAGCAGTACTCCGTCTCCACATCATTCAACTAGTTAGTCTCCGGGGGATGCAACGACCTGAGCATGCACTTGCCACCGCGGGGGATTTCTTGTGTGGAAGATTTCAGGCACTCGCTCCCCAGAGTCCTCCTCGAAGATATCTTCTTCGTCATAGCTGGGTATTGAGCCTCAGTGTGCTGCGATCGTACCAAAACCACAAAGTGGAGCTGAAGAAAACATTACGAACCAGAACTGGAATGCCCTGCCAGTAGACAACAGCAAAGTGAAATCAGGTTGTAAACTTGCCCAGCAGCTCTGTCGCACGTCCATACGACCATCAGATCTTGGATCGGATGCCTCACTTGGAGTGTAGTAGTCATTTCCTTGCTCAGCCTCAATCTCAAGATCCTCTGAATAGTCCTCCGGCTCGTCCGGCTCGTCAGGCTCCTCCAACTTTGGCTCCTCTTCCTCTGGCTCCGAATATTGGCTCGCAGATTCCGAGGGCTCACTTACAGGAGCAATGGTCACAGCTGCAGTCACAGGAGCGGCTGGAGATCCGGTGCCCTCAGAGCTGTTGCCGGCATTTGAAGGGCTCTGCAGATCAGCGGGATTCTCATCTCTAGAGCTGGACTCAGCCACATCCTCATCTGAAGCTTCAACCTCGAAGGCGTCGCTGTAAGCATCTTCTTCCGCTTCACAATCGTCCTCATACTCAGAGTCCTCGTGGCAGCAACGGCGGAAATCAGCTTTTGAAATGCTAAAGATCAGTTGGCAATCTGTTCAAATCCACAGTCAAAGATCTTGAAGTTTGTGACGGTGCACAGGGCACGACTCTACAAGGCTAATGTTCGAGGGTGCCTCATCCTGCGATTGCTCTTCTGCTGCTTCTAAAGCTTCTCGCGGTTGTGGTGCCTGGACACGTGAGGTACGTAGTTGTCCAAATGAGACTTCAGACACACTTTCTCGAAGGACGATCGTAAGAAATTACTGACTGCCTCTCCAGCGTCACTTCCTTCGAAGTCAGAGTACGAACCCCTGTGCGTCACAAACGAAGTACCTGACATGACTTGGCCAGCAATGTGTTTAGGGTTAGAAGGTCGTTCAGAGGTGGCGCCAGGATCAGCTTCTTTATGATCCGCTGCATCCTCCGGGTGCATCTTCTGCAGCACCTTTTTCTCAATGAGTTCGAGCTCATTATGAGCTGCCTGACATGCAGTCACGACATGTCACGACTGTGCAAGCCTTGTGCGAGCAACTCTAAAAGCTGAAACTTTCTGCTTGGCCTGCTTGGCGGAGTGCAGCGGTTCGGGCGTCGTTCGCTCTTCTGGTTCCTGAAGCAGGCAAGAATGTGGAAATCATGGCCGTTGTGTCCGTGTCAAACTGCTGTACTGAAAGCCCCCGGGGCTCAAGCTGGCTGTTCCACATCGTCTTCAAAGTCCAATGTGGAATACGTTGCAGTTCCCAATGTCTCCGCGCGAGTCTTCTGGGTGCCTTCGTCGCAAGTTGATATCCGAAAGCTCGTGTAAGAGTAGGTAAGAGAACTAACTTGACCTTGTAAATGGGAGTTCTTGTACCATTCGTACCTGTGTGAACTAGACACGCTCTGGCCTGATGAGGCTGCGGTACGTGTCGGGTATGCGAGTTGAGAAGCCAATTGTACGCAGCATGGAATCAATCAAGACACGACCTGCGGACGGATACATTGGACCATCCCGCCATGTCGAACCCACCTTCATGCGCCGAGACCGCCCCGAACATGCTCTGCGACTGCGTTTTCCATGAGATCCTTCTAGCCCACCATAGTCAATCTCCAACAGGTATGTGAACCCCGGACTGCTCCGCAGAGAAACACAACACCTGCTTACATAGATGCCTGAAGCATCAGCAGTGCCGTCAGCACTGTCCGCAAGCTTGCTCAGCACTCGCTGGTCCACGAGCTCCAATTCTTTTTTGGCGGCCTCAAAAGGCTTCGGCACGATACAAGTCAGCAAACGCCAACTGCAGCACCTTGCATTACCAAAAGCAACTCAAGGTTGGGAACTCAATCCGTACTAATTTGTTATGCCATGAATGCAATAACTTCTTTCCGGCGGTGGGGCTCCCCTCTCAACGTGGCTGACCTTCCTCGCGCTATGAAGGGGCTCCGGGGTCTCTGGCCGCTCATCCTTTGACTCCTGACAATGTGCAGATGAAAATTGGTAATCAAAAGCCTTCTAACCAGGTCCTGAGCTGGCTGGATCTCCTTCGAGGCTTTTTCCGTAGCTGGCAGTGGAAGCAGCGGGGCCTCGCCATGGCAGAGCTGCACGGAAGCAAAAAAAAAAATGCAATCTGCCGAGCCTCTGCTACAGCACGCTTTGACTTTCGAAAGCGAGGCTGCCTGATAGGTGGCGGCGGCGTCCTCGAAGCACGCTTGCTAACGGCGTAGTTTCTCCAGAACTTTACCGTGTCCTGAAGACGTCAGCCTTGCTGAGAGTACGCCGCAGCCTGGAGTGCCTCATGGGCTGAAAAACCCTTGATCACAGAGGTTTCAATTGCATCACGTGAATATCAACTGGCCTGTTCACAAGGGTTGTGTACACCTCAAGCACTGCAGGAAATCCTCTTGCTGCTTGGCTTGACGTCTCGAGCCTCGTATCGAGATGCCAGCTCAGCCCGATCACTGACTGTCGGCCCAATGCCTCAAGCTCAAAAACCAACGCTTCAATGGTGTCAATACGGTCTAATGTGACGGTATGTTAAATCCCCGTGTCATTGCGGCACCCACTACACCCTGTTGCATCCTCTCTGTGTGGACGGTTGACAGTTGTTTCTTAAAAGCTGTCGTGAAACATGCGTGAGATGCGTTAGAGCTCTCCTCCACAGCTTACCCCCCCAAAGCAGAAACCAAAACTCAAGCTCGCGAGCTCTCGCAAAAACTCGAAAGCCCACCCCCCCTGCGAACAAGGCACCAAATGGCCAAGAACTATCTCTGAAACAGGAGAGGAAACCCTTGCCTTGTGCCGTGCGCTATAGCTACTTCTAGAATTTTTAAAAATAATAAAATTTCCGGAAAAAAAAAAGAAGCAAATGGTCCTTTTGGAAAAAAGTAAAACAAATGCAAAACAAATGCAAAGACTCCTCGCAAAAAAAGCAAAAACAAAGCAACAAAAAAAGGAGCGGCAGGTTTGAAAAGCCAATGTGCTATTCCTTTTTTTCTTCTTTTTTTGGCCCATTGTTTTTGCATTGGTTGCTGCATTTGTTTTGCTTTTTTCTCGGGGAAAAAGCAAAAATAAAGGGAATCAGAGGCTTCCGAAAACATGCGAATCCCTTTTTTGGGTCCATTGTTTTTGCATTGGTTGCTGCATTTGTTTTGCTTTTTTCTCGGGGAAAAACCAAAAATAAAGGGAATCAGAGGCTTCCGAAAAAATGCGAATCCCTTTTTTGGG